ATCTGACATCGTCATGTTCAAGTCGACTTACTATGGATTCTTCGATTGACCATCCATCACATTTGCCGAAGATGAGGAGTGGTACAGTGTGCTAACAAATGAACAAGCGGCGGTAGTCCAGCTCAAACGCTTCGGGAGTTCTTACTGCTTAAGTTCAACCTCGTCCAAGTAGGGCCTTCTCGGATTTTTGGTGGAACACGAGAGGAGTTAAGCTCTGGAAACCCCTACGTGTAGATGTCGCAGTCAACGCGAAAGTCAACTATCCACAGCTCGAATGCAACGCTTTTAATACGAAAGAAAAACAAGGCAAAGTTTGCTTTTTTATGACACCGTTGAACCACCTCTTGCTAAGAAAATCCAGGAAAATTTTGGGACTCTCGGACGGAGAGTTCTTCCGTATCCACCTTATAGCCCTGACCTCGTGCCAAAGGATGCCCACCTGCTTCCCTCTCCAGACCACTCCTAGAGAAGAAATCTCATCCTAACCATCATGATGTCAAAATCGACATCTGATCTTTCTTCGATCAGAATTCAGTGAGTTCTACAAGAGAGGCATCGAACAGCTTCTAGTGCGTTGGCAATAGGTTGTAGATATTGATGGTGGGTAGCATGCTGGATGAATGGAACAAAAAGATAATGAAAATATTAAAATCAAAATTTGGCCAGTTTGTTGCAAGACTTATGGACCAGCCTAATAGAAGGCAGTGCCGTGACCACAACATCACATTAGATTGACTATTCAACATTAATTTTTTCCTAGCTTCGTTAACGTTTTCTTTCCCTTACCCGGGTTCAAATCCTGGGTCGTGCGTCGTCCGGGCCAACCAAGCCTTCCATCCCTCCGGGGTCGGTTAATTGGTACCAGACTTGTCTGGGAGGATAAAAACACTGACTTGTACATCGGCTGGCCCCCGCAAGTCATTGTATAGGCCACATCGCATTCAAATGCCACTACGAATGTACAAATGGAAGTAGAATGCGTGCCGCATCCCAAAAAGGGATTGATCAACGGCAAATGCCTTTATCCTTTTTTACCCCTTTCTACACAGCACTTTATCGAATGTGCGGTTATCACAAAAGAATGCCCAGACGCCACCTAAACCTCAAAATTGGAGATCTGTGCTCCTAAGGCGATTGTTTTTTGAAAAGTTCGATGTTCCTTGCACCAGGGGCGTCCGTACGGAAATATTACCTAAGTAATATACCTCAGACGAATAGGTTGAGGTTAATAAAGGAGCTTGAAGTTAAGTGATAAAGATGATTCAGTGAAGACTGCAGTAAGAAATAAAAATGTCCTGCGGGGCCCTTGACTCCTCCCCAACCCTTGCTAAATTGGTCTTCTTTGGGATGACCGAGGTGGACCAGCTTAGTTCGTTACCAATCGTTTTGCCACTTCCCTCTCAAAATCAACTAATTCCAATCCTTTCTTAAATAGGATAATAGATCTTGGTGGATTCGGATGAAAAGGGTGTGTCTAGGGCCGACGCAACCAAAACGATCCCTCGGGATCCCCCTCTCCCTCCACTCCCATACCTTGAAGAAAGCTAGGAATCCGTACAGGAGAATGGTGAGTGGGCCAGTTCAACAAACATAATTCAATGGTTTTCAAGGTGCAATACCAATACAGGCCTACAATTACGTACCTGCAAACCGGCAACTGCGTTTGGCCTTCCACGACTTGAGTAGTGAGCGCTCTGAAATATATCCATATAGTATGGTTTTTTTCCTTTCATAGGATAAAATCGATTCCCGAACCAATTGATGTTAACTGTTTGTCCTTGGCGGTTTTGGCGGCTCAGTTTTTTCCTATATGAGTACATCCGGGTCGCGGTTAGAATTGCTACCGTTATACTGCCCCAATTAATGTTATGGCAGACGTTTTTGTTGTACAACTCAATCGCGTGCCGCCATCCCGCACTATCAAGTCAGAAAATAAAGCATACAGCATTGAAGGAACAACGATACTGGTCCTTCGACCGGAACGAAATGCTGGGCTGTTTCACTTGGCCTCGCGCATTTGCTCAGCCAGTTAGTATATTTGCACTTACTTGTGTTAATACAGCCAGCTACATGTCCTTGCTAGGGCCAGACATAGCGCGACGGGAAATGTCATTGAAATGTGTTGCGCAATGAGTGAATTTCAAGTATTGGTCGAGGCTTTCTAGTGCACTTGATAGCGGCTAGGCTGTTTGAAATTCACAAATCCGGTCCCGACAGCTAGACACCACTAAAACGGGACAAATCCGCGATCACATGACGCGATGTTCCGCGTTGTTTGTTGAACCCTTCTTGTGAAGCCCTCCACATCGAACGCAGACTCAGCTTCCGATATGTCTCGATCCCCAGTCTTGGAAAATGAAAGTATCTGTGCCAGGAACGCATTAGTCGGGAACTGGACATAACCCCCGATTGCGAAGAAAGTTCTTTGAGTACATAGTTAGTAGAACGAGAATACTGTCAACGCAATTTTATGCGACAACCTACTACACAGTTGGACATTCCTTCGCGTCTGCTTCTGCAGCGTAGTAAATACACACCAAAATAAAATAAACAAATACAACCTGATTGAAAGAAACGAACCGGATGGAAGGAAACAATCACAGTTGCGATAATGACGACACCGTTCACCTGGAAAGGAAACTGTAGATCTAACAGTCCTAAACTCCATAATATAACAAAGCCCCACGTCGCCTCGCTTATACACATAACGCTACAATATTTTACACTAATGCACCTGACAACCCTTCCCATGTTTTGCTGTGGTATGGGTTATTGGTTACGTGTCACTCTCTAAGCGGCAGACACCCCATAACGAAAAGTCCAAGTATGTAGCTTCCTGATCATCTTTGCGTATATGAAGAGGCTGGCATGTGACCTCCTTACTCATCTACAGGCTTTTTCCTTTTCAGAAAGGAACTCGGCTAGCATCGGTTCTGAATAACTTCCTTGAATAACACTAACCAGGCTGCAATCCTTCCACTACTATGCATGTGTAAAACATCGAAGAAGAAGGCAATCAAAACAAATATCTCTTAGTTTTAAGAAATGCAAGAAACCTATTTGCCTGTGAATAAAGTACGATAAGTATGGATTAGGGAGGTGGGGATGGCACTCAATTGTGCCCCGGCAAGCCTCTAGCGGTGAGGCTCTTTCCCACGTAAGAGCTCAGTAGTACACCCGTATTAGACGTCGACAAATGCAGGGACTTGATCCCAAGGTAAACGTCTGTAACCCAGCTTGGTACGGAGCCAAAAGATCGAATTTCTGAGCCATGCCCAGGCCCCAATAGAAGCACGAAGCAGAGCTTACACCATGGTTGATCGCTGACATATAGGATCCAAGGTAACCCGACACGCCATTTCAACACACATCAGTCTCCGTATACCACAAAAACAAACAGCTTTTAGGAGGTGTTATCGAAACGCTTTAATTCAAGTGCTAAAAAACCATCCAACTGCACTAACCGAAATCGCAGCATCGAAGGAGCGCAAATGAAGTGATACCCATCCAACCGGCAGTTGCCGACCACCCATCATCCCATGTGAACCAACGCTAGTTGTGCATCAGGGTTGATTTTGTAACGGCTAACAAAAACTAATCTCCCGAACATTTCGCCTCGTTGAACAGTGATTTTTTGCACCATAAACTTGATCATCCATACTAAACCCATTGTAAGAACCAGGTAACTCTTGCGAGCTAAGCGGAGATTATGCAATTCAAGGCTCTATTAGTCTTATTAGAACTATCTTAAGGAGGGCATGATAAACGGCAAGCTCTTCTTCGAGACCACCACTAGAAGGCTAAAAGATGTGCGTTAAGACATGGAAAGGCGAAAGGTGTTGTTCACACGGTTCCCGTTTGCATATACGAAAGGTCCAAACGATGGGGTTAACCGAGAACTTTGCAAGAACTAGTCTGTTTTCAAACAATTTCGACTCTGTAAGAGGCCTAGTAAATCTAATAAATAGAACGGAATAAACAGAGGCCTGTTTCTAATTGATACACCGTGTGATAAGCCAATAAGCCGTCTACTATGGGAAAGAGCAGAAAATTGTCCCCAGAGACCCCAAATTTGTGCAAAGACCATAACCCGTGACCTTACATCCTTTCCCGACCTCTGCGAGTTTTGATTTCCGACAGAGGTCGTTGAGTGGCGATAGGTTTGTTCATTCGAGTAGAGAGCCACTTTTTTTGGTGGCCGATTGTTGCGCCCATATGGCGACAAAATCTATGCTCAGACAGTCCTGTAGCACTCCCTTATGGGCGCCCCAGTCTTGTTACTCACTTCTATCCACCGAGGAACTAATCTTTAGGACTGATGACCCCCATGAGACAATGCAGTCCGACTGTTAAGTCGAGGGCTGCCATGCCTCACGAAACGCCAAGAAAGCTCGAAATATAACCCGGTGAGGCAACTGAGTTCTGCGCCGGGAGGGTCCTCACAGTGAACATACATATCTTCGAAAAAGCGGAAGTAACGCTCGCTTTGCAGCACGCACCCTCCTTTGAAGCCCGACAAGTACACCACCCTCAACCGTCGTGCTTCACGGTAAACCGATGATCCAGCTTGTTATCACCCATCATTACACAGTCGGCATCAGAAACGAATCCCTGAAATTAGGGCAGATACTGTAGCGTGAGGACCTAATTTCTAATTGATCAAAGTTGATTAAGTCAGAAATCCAAGGTGAAATTTTGATTCCGTGGTCGAAAAAGGTGAATGTCCACTGAAAAGCGTTCGTTTGGTTTTTGTTAATGAAAAAAGAACACAGGACTCGATCTAAAAACCTTCCCCCAGAAATCTCTGAAACGAAACGCCATACGTTGATTACTGCCGGCTATCGCAACGTTTGCGCACTGGACAGACAAAGAAGACGAAGAGGAAGAAGAAGAAGAAAGAGCTGAAGAAAAAGCTGTCGGCCAAGTGCAATACGTTTAGCCAACTCAGCTGGACGATCCTTATTGGATGTGTCATTGTGGTGGTGGCATTTCTTCCCCGAAGAGAAAAATGACCACGCCAAATTCTGAAAAGCTGCTGGGCTGTAATCGTTTCTGAGTGGCTTAACGCTACTCCAAGAAAAAGAGGAACAGGGCAAGGTAATCCTTCCTCGTCTTCACTATTCAATCCATCTAATTACTTTTACGGTCGTCCCGCTTTGGTGCTATCGAAATACCTGTATTGGGTTTAGGTCATCTCCTAAAAAAGTAATTGTTCTGCTCGATTGGTAAACTAATAGCCATCTAGGCAATGATTTCTTACAATTGGAACCGGTCCAACTTTTTCTCCGGAAGTTGCCAGCTTTCACTCTCGAATCTGTTCCCCGGCAGGAGAAGGCATTAAAATCCTACGAGATTACATCGAACAAACCTGATCTTCTTAATTTTGTGTAGCGTGTTCTAATCTGACAAAGGAGCTGAGACTGTATAGTGTTCTCCCCAGTTAAGAGCGAAGGAAAAACTACCTTGATTTGGTTTTTTGATTCCCCTGAATATCTTTTTTTCTATACGAGTGCCACAAAAAATTCGGGATCTGTTAGAAAAAGAAGTATACAGAGGAAGAAAACTCCTCTCTCAAAAACCAGTACATTCAATGAAATTCCTCCTCGCATCCCCGTCTAGGAGGTTCATCATACGGCTATTGAAAATGAAAACTGCTAACATTTCTTGGAGCGTATACAATTTCCATCACCTTGATGCCTGCTGTTTGGCCCAAGTTCAATTCCTTATTCATTGATCCCTAACTCGCAGTTGAATCTTTAGGGTCTACGAAAAACAGTTCTTCATACAGGTAGAGGACAAAACGAAGTATAATTCCTGCCGCTACTGCATTTTCTCATGAAATATGCATATTTCGTTCCCCACAATCGACCTGTCGCAATTGCGGGCTCAGCAGAAGTCGTGGCCATCTTTTAAAAATCTTCTAAGAATCGATACACCTTCGCTTTCGGTGAAGTTTGATGCCACGCACAATCTACTACTAACCAGGAAAGGCATTCAACTTCCCATGGAACTTTGAATTGAGACCCAGATATATCGATAGAGCTTCAAACGCTGATTACAAATATGGAAACTAAAAACTGCAAAATGAACCTGCCAAGGAAGTTGTGAGCAGTCAAAGTTGGCTGGAAGTAAAGCATTACATATGAACCGTGCTAGTTCCAGGCTTTCAATGTCGCCGCGGAGTAGTGGTAGTGCCCTCGCTCTCCACCCGGGAGGTCATAAGTTCTCTTCCTGTTGGAGTGCAAATTTTGAGAGCACTACCACTACTCCACGGCGACTTTGAAAGCCCGGAGGCTAGCACGGTTAATACGTAACGCTTTACTTCCAGCCAACTTTGACTGCTCACAACTTCCTTGGCAGGTTCATTTTGCAGTTTTAGTTTCCATATTTGTAATCAGCGTTTGAAGCTCTATCGATATATCTGGGTCTCAATTCAAAGTTCCATGGGAAGTTGAATGCCTTTCCTGGTAAGTGCGCATCTAGTATTCGCGGTGGAAGCAGAATCGTAACTGTCTTAACTATTATTATGCTTTGGTAACCTTGATGTCGAGCTACGGCTTATTATATTGTAATTAATTCCAGAAACATAAATTACTTTTGTAAGATAGAATAACAGCAGAATAAATTGGGCGGAAGTGGTGTAGTGCAAGTGGCACGCTTACCACGCGAGCGGTCCGGGGATCAAATCCTGGGTCGTGAGTCGCCCGGGCCAACCAAGCCTTCCATCCCTCCGGGGTCGGTTAATTGGTACCAGACTTGTCTGGGAGGATAAAAAACACTGACTTGTACATCGGCTGGCCCCCGCAAGTCATTGTATAGGCCACATCGCATTCAAAAGCCACTACGAAATGTACAAATGGAAGTAGAATGCGTGCCGCATCCCAAAAAGGGATTGATCAACGGCAGAATCGGCTTAAATCCTCTTGCATTGCTTTCACAGCAGACAAAACCCGCTTTTGAGTACTGAACACAACTTTGGCTCCAGACAAACCCGAAACTTCGTCCCGGGAGAGCACCTATACAACTTTCGATCATTACTTCATTTAATCTAGTAAACAAGCCCCAATGCAAACAAGCCAGACTTCTGGGGGGGGGGGGAGTCAAATTAGAAATGCTGGAAAAATCTTCTTGATGACCTTTCTGAGGAAAAAACACAAAGAAATATATAAAAAAGATCACCACTCGCCGTCGATTTTCTTTTTCCGGGCGCTGCACGCTAATTCTCTCTTCACAAACTGTGGTGACCAATAAGCGAGATGCGAATAAAGCGGTAATCCATATAAATTAAATGAAAGTTCTTCATATGAGCAAAATCATGTCCTTCCCCTCCCCCCATGATCCTTCCGCCCCCCCTTCAGACAAGCCCTGCACCAATTAATCAACGCCCGAAAGATGAAGATGATCTGTTGGCCCAAAATTCCACCATTCGACTCGAGCCTGCCCAGCGACCCAGCCGCTTTCACATAGAGCTTACCTTCACAAAAATCTTGCCAGCGAAAGGATTCCGAGAATGAAAAAGGAGTGAGATGGAGTCCGATCCGCATTGTACCTCGGGTTCACCTGAAGGGAACATTCCATTTTTTCAATTATTTTCTGGAAGTGGTCATACCCTTTCAATAAGGATGGAACAATTTTTTGGGTTTTTTCAAGCACTGATCGGATTATGACATAATTTTGCTTGTTTACTGATTTGTCACAGCCCAACTTTTCTAGAAAGCAATAGCATGTAACCCTGACCTTCAGATGAAAGCTCTCCCTCTTTTGCTTCACTTACCAAACCGACAAATCATAGTAGTTCTTTGCAGCGAACCAGAATCCTACATTAGTGGGACTTCCTGTCGTGTCGCGCCCGACGGCATTATTCCGCTTCGTACACGGCTCGCACTTCTTTACAAGGTCGAGAAATCCGGAAAGGAACGGGATACCTCTCTTTTCTCCTCTTCTTTCTAGCTACTGCATTTTCCGGTCCAATAGTAGCGGTTTTTCTGAGACCAGAACTGTTCTACGAGTTCAGGTGCATAGTAATCGTAAGCAGCCGGGTGTTCAACGATCAGCTGTCACTCAGTCCTTTTATGAGAACAAGTATTATAGCACGTCTTTGAGCAAGCTATGACACTAGAAGAAGGCAAAAGAAAGCAATGAAAATGATTTGTACTCGCTATGTGAAATGCTCCCCTTAGAATGGTGCTATGCTACTGGGAACAGGTTCGGGTTACTGTCGAGTAATTGAACACCGTGCAATTTTAGTATCCGAGAAATCGCTGTGAAAAGTGAGACTCGTGGCGATTAGAGCGGAAACGCGGACGCGAAATGATGAGGGAGGATCATGATCCTGACAGAGTCTTCCCTTTTGAGTCGATTTCTGTGCCGGTGTTTTACCTGAATCGACGCGGAACCATCCAGCTACTCGAGTAGCTGTCAAGGGTACTTGGCTTAGTCACGATCTGCCCAGAAACTCGACTTATATTGCTAACCACCGTGGCGGCTAGCTGATCTTCATGGTAATTTGCTTAGTAATACGTCACGAAAGCCTAGCTCGTCGGTATGGATGCATACGGAGAAACGGTGGAGGAAATAGGCTCTCTCACATTGTATGGATTATGGGTTAACATAGTGCACTGCAAAAATCATTATTGAGTGATGACATCACAAGAAGTCGGTATGGGCAAAACTCTTCAAACCAGGCGGGAATCGAACCCGCAACTCTCGCACTCTGAGAAGCCATACTACTAACACCACCTGGGCACTGCTTCCACCTCAAATCAAGAACAAGTCAACATATTGACGTCTGAACTCGCATTCCTTGAGGAGAACTTTAAAACAGAAAAACAACAGAAACCAGGGTGCTATCGCAAGATACGGGGGGGTAGCGGTGGCAATGCCTTCAAAATCGCTTTGAATGTCTTCCTGTTGAATCGGGCCTACAATAAGCTTCAGGCGGGTGACGAAGGACTCCAATGCGTGAGAAATTTTCACTGTCCCAAAGCTCTTGCCGACTCCTTGAGGTGCCCCTAGTCTAACAATAGCGCTGAAATCGGTTTCAGGTCAGCCCGTAGGACATCATGTCCACATAATACAACCCGTAACCCATGCAGAATTTTTTTGTGAGTGAAGTGTACAGGTTCCCACTTCGAACGATTTATAATTTTTCACTTGGACAGATTCTATTAGGACAGGACAGTAAAATACAGAAGCAACAGATATTAAAAGCCTAGTCGTGCCTAACAGGTGGAGTACCCTCAACAATAAAGATTTTCACAGAAGAAAAATTCTTACAACCGACTGAAATCTTATTGACAACCCACAGTATTCCATTCAAAGATTTTCAAAGAATTTTTATCAATTAAATTTGGCTCCGCACTGCGAAATTTACGCGCTAGATGAGGCTTCCCATTCTCAATCTCTGTTTCCTTGAAAAGCTTAGAGTCTGGAGTAAGATTCTATTGGTTTGCACCCGTAACTCCGCCGAATTTTGGACACTTCGATTTTGGATGCGCTGTATATCACTGAGCTTTTTGCTCTCGTAAGCTGTAGCTTCAGTGCTGGCTGGAGATACAGTCGATGAGCAATAATCAGTGCTATAACGTCAGATGTGGTATCGGTGGTCCAGCCAGTTCCCCTCAAAACATGGCGAGCTATCCTTGCAATTTGAGGCCAGCTTTCATTTGGAGAAGGAGATTTTGAGACGTTTCGAACCGTTCTCCCGCACTGCGACGGCCATCTTGGGGAGTTATCCCATGGTTACCTCTGCTATGCTTGTCTGCATAACGTGAAGCGGTTTTCAAAACGGGATGCCCAGCGAATCCAACAAGCAGGTGATATCATCTGATGAAAGAACTCGGGCTTCATTAAGATGGTGGATCCAGGCTGCGAGGTAGTCACCTGGGATGCCTCGTGTTGTTATCGTGGTGGACTCTTGACTCGTCTGCACTGGTGATCAACTAGGGAATATCCTGTCTATACGGTCGCACGATGAAATTTCTGCACGTCGTCACGTCGCTTCTCGGTCTTGGTCAGTTGATGCATGCTGTTTCTATCGAGAGTTCTTTCTGCTACAGCCCATTCCATTCAGGTGGCCATTCATGAGCGTATGCTGCGTCCAGATGTTTGCTACACTTACCTGCTAATAGCGGCACAGGATGCATCCTAATTCTATTTCGAAAGGGTCTCATCGACAAGTGGCCTGGAGTCCATGTATGACGTCGAGGCTTTGGCACCCAATCATCTCTTTGCTGATACGCTTGAGCCAATAGCTCAGTACCCGATCAGTACCAAAGACTGGGCGCGAACATGGCGCTGATCTTGCCTACCGCTCTCCTTGCAAGGTTCTTCTTTGAATGGTCATAAGGCATCATTGTTGAGTTTTGTCGTTGACCTATTTCAATTCCTAGCTAATTATTCGTGGCTCATTTGAGCTTCCGAAAACATCTTGGCTGAAGGTCCTGATTGTGTTCTTCAACATATCACTTATTTCATTATGAAGCTAATTTTACCCGAAGAAATTTGAATTGGAACAAAAATCGGCCAGAAATTATGGGTCAACCCAATATTAGGCTTAAGGTTGTTTCAGCAGTTGTTCGGCCAGAAATTATGGGTTAACGCAATATTAGCTTAAGGTTGTTTCAGCAATTGTGACTTCAGGGTTTACAAAAAAAAACCTAGAAACAAACCGACTAATCCGTTGTCGATTTCCAATGTGAGATGAGAGTAAGCATAAGAGCAGAATAAGAATAGCACGCTCAGAAGAGATCTGTGCAGCATTTGCTCCTGAAAATCAGGAGAGAGACTGAAAAAGCTGCACTAGCCGAGAACAATGCGCACGAAAATGGTCTCATAAATAGGCCATTAATTCAAAGGATTTCAAGCCGTGAGCTTAGTAGGTAACGTTCAACGACATTGAGGCTTAACGTCGTGAAGCACGGTAGAGAAGAAGTGAAAAGGCGACGGGAGCATGAAATGAGAGGTAATGGGATGAGTTGGGCGGTGGCGCGAGGACCGAGGCGCGGTGGCGGCCGTCACAAAACGGCAGCATTTAACTCGGTTCAACTGAGGAGGAGGGTCTTCTGAAAGAAACACCGCACACATACAGGATCTAGTTGCGGTTGCGCAATCTCCCCCGGAGGGGCGCGGTCTCTGAGGCAAGTCTCGGAGAGCGCGTGGGATGCACCTACTATGGAGAAAACCCCTCGCAGGCGGGAGACTTTGTAACTTCTTCGCTGGGAGGAAGAGGCAATCATGTCTAGGACAATCCTGCGGAAGATGGCGGGATGCCAAAATCACCTTCCGAGGTGCTACAAAAGTGAAGGTTTGACCTTGCCAATGTGGCCAACGATTTCGACTATTTGTGTTCCAGCAGAAAAACTCCGGTAAAAACTCGCACAAAAAACGTCCTCAAACCCTCAGCTAACTTGATTGCATAGGAATTCTCTCGATCGGTGAAGATCCTGCGGCTGCATAGAAAGTAATGGACGTTCCCCCGCCAACTAGAGCGGAAACGCAAGATGGGGAGGTGTGTGGTTACCACTGAGGCTTATAAGCACCCGGTAATAACCGGACTGTGACGAATTGATGACAAGCTGACATGACCGTGGCCAACTACTTTGCTGTTTGCTCTTTGCTTGTCAGACGAAAGTGACACATCTTTTCGGCACAACTCTTAGGTGCTTCCGATTGGAGGCATGGTTCTCGTCTCTCTTCCAATCCGGTGAAATCTCAGCGATCCTTATGAATCTTTCAATAGCCAACTCCCGCTACTAACACAAGGTCTATGAGCTCCGAACGCTAACGAGTCGAATAAGGACCATATGTTTTTCTTCAAATTAACTGACAACGCGATAAAGATAAAAAGCATTTGGCGCTGATCAAACTCCTTTGGGATGCGCCACGCATTTTATTTCCATTCAGAATCCTCGTGACATCGAGAATGCGATTTGAGCCTACACCATGGCTTGCGCGGGAGGGTGGGGGAGAGGCATCGCCTAATGTAAAAGTTAATGCTTTGCTATCTCTCGACAGCTCTAATGTGGATCAACTAAACCGGAGGAATGGAAGGCTTGGTTGCCCCGACGAAACGCTAAGGGATTTGATCCCCGGATCGCGCACACGGTAAGCAGCGCCACTTGACACTACACCACTTCCGCCCAAAACGCAATAGCCAAGCATGAAACCAAAGCTAGACAATAAGACAAATTTTTCCAAAACGCATTTTATTTGAGCAAATCTCCTTTCAAAGTGGATTTTGCCAAATAGTGTCAGATGTGTTTAATAGCATTCTCGTCACGCGTTTTTTTCGTTTTTCTGTCCGTGTTAACGAACGGGGTTACCGACAGGAGGCCCGTCGAGCAGCCTCAGGCGGAGATTCGCAGCGCGTGCTCTGTAGCGAATATGAGGTGAAGTATGATCCTCTATTTTAACTTGACGCAAAACCACTACAGTAGCGTCTGCAAGCCTACCGTTTGAGTCTGCCTCCTGACGTCGATATGGGCCTCTTGGGCGTCGATAAGGGCACCCGACGACCGGTGACCGAATGATGAAAACGGCGAAATTTACACAGATTTTGCTGCAATGACCATCAAAACATTTTATTTCTCGAATATTCTTTGTGAAAACGCGTATTTTAATATCTTCAAACTCTTGTGGTTACTGCTAGAACTCTTTCTGTTTATGGAAATAAGAAGGAAAATATGAATGAAGCGAATCGGATACTTATTTAAGTCCAGAATACCTTTTCTGAAGTAAAGCATATCCAATATTTCAGTGAAGCGTGTCGCTTAGACTTATGTAGCAGTCTGTTTATAAGGTTGATTGATATCAGAAATATCCAAGAAACATGTGAGCACTGGTTGGCAGGCCATACGGGCCGCCATCGTCCCACGAGCCACATTCCTGGCAGTCCATGTGGGCTGCCGTCGGCGTGAATGTGTTAAGAAAATGGTGTTAAGTAGAGAACTTGTTGTGGTTCTTTGAAAAAAATGGATTTCACCGTGTGAATGTTTTGGCGTCAAATTGTGACTCAAAGACTACTTGTTTTTGACAAGCGTTTGATAAACATCGATCTCAGCCGTGAGCACCTGAAAGGACTGGTCCGGTCTAGGGCTGATGACAGAGTCCAAGCCGGAGCTCTCCCATCAACCCCGGCAAATAGATCTTCTTGCAAAAATTCTTGTTTTGATGGAAACTATGGAAAAACTTCGAGGACTCTTGTCCCCACTACTAAAATCTTTGGATGGAAACAGCAAAACGTATGCACAGCTATGTTCGTTCTTTATTGGTGCTCTCCGGAGAGGCAATTTTTTTGAGACACTTCCCTTCCTACCGCCCGTCCAACTATGGCTCAGTCACACTTTGCTAAATTTCCTATATCAAGCAAGCATACGTCTCTCGATTATCCCTTATTTTCACTACTGCCTCGCACGGGCTAACTGGAGCACTTCAAGACTAGTTGCTTTGACAGCGTTGATAAAACATCGGTCCAGCCGTGACCCTGAAAGGACTGGGCCCGGTCTAGGTTGATGGACAGAGGTCCAAGGCGAAGCTCTCCTCAATCAACATGGGAAATAGATCTTCGATGATGGCCAATCCATGAAGCAAGACTTTCATCGTCAAGAAAAAATAACAGCTTTTCCTGGGTAGTTTTTTTGTCTCATAAACCGACCTTTTACCCGTGACCGTAAGATTTGCTAACGAGAGTAGGCAAGGTCAAAAAGGTCAAGAATTTTCATCATTCCCTATTATGACCGTGTGCGAGATAATCAGCACCACTTTCTGAATGCTTACCTCCACCTTCATGTGGCAATCGTATAGCTGCTGATGATTATAGTTTCTATAAAGTTATCTTCAACTCTGGGACTGTTTAGCAGTAACTACCGCTAAGATATAGCATCGGGAAGTCGGATTTCAACTGCCTAGCAACTGCACGGGCACTCAAGTAAGGACAATAAGGTCCAATGCGCTTACGGTATGGGTTGAGTCGGACGAAAAAATTGAGGTCGCACTTGACCGTGTGCGTGGGAAGTCTCGCCAGGGTGCCACTTACACTACTTCCACCCGGCATGTATCTGGGCGACATACTGGCAATGTGGGTGGCGTCCACATTTAAAATGACGGGAAACCTCCGCTTTTGTCATAATCGGAGCTATGCCTAGGCGGTGGGAGGCTGTATAGTGCGTGAGCAGGTTCCATTTTCCCTTCAAGTTACTGCCCCATCTTAGGCTCAGTCCAAAATGAATAACCCGTATCTTGTGATCGCGCCCTCAGCCCTAAACAAAATCAATAAACGATAACTAATAGGTATGAAATTCGTTGGAAAATGCCATATTCGATAGCCTTGACATAGGTTACAGCTAATATAAAGGTTTCCCTGTAATTGCTTATGATCTATTTGCTGGCTGAAGTAATTGGAAACGTATAAAATTACACCTTTCGCTTCCCCTCCCCCCTTACATTCACCCAACTGGGATCACAGTCAGGTTCGATTACCCCATCGCTAGGGAGGAAAGGCCATGGATCGGCTATTTGACAGTTCGTTTTTTTTTGGGGGGGGTTCCTTGACGTAGAGAGTCCAATGCCTACGGTGATGGGTGATTCGGATCGGAAATTGGGCCACTTGAACCGTGTGCGTTGGAAGGTAGCGCCAGCTGCCACTACAGCTACTTCCACCCGGCATTATCGCAACATACCGGCAAGTGTGGTGGCGTCACATTTAAAATGACGGGAAACCTCCACTTTTGTCATAATCGGAGCTATCCCTAGGCGGTGGGAGGCTGTATAGTGCGTGAGCAGGTTCCATTTTCCCCTTAAGTTACTGCCCCATCTTAGGCTCAGTCCAAATGAATAACCCGTATCTTGTGATCGCGCCCTCAGCCCTAAACAAAATCAATAAACGATAACTAATAGGTATGAAATTCGTTGGAAAATGCCATATTCGATAGCCTTGACATAGGTTACAGCCTAATATAAAGGTTTCCCTGTAATTGCTTATGATCTATTTGCTGGCTGAAGTAATTGGAAACCTATAAAATTACACCTTTCGCTTCCCTTCCCTCCCCCCTTACACTTCAACCTAACTGGGATCACAGTCAGGTTCGATTACCCCATCGCTAGGGAGGAAAGGCCTATGGATCGGCTATTTGACAGTTCGTCGTTTTTTTTGGGGGGGGGCTTTTCTTGACGTTTCTGTAATTACTGTCTGCCAGCGTTGAAAACTGGTGAGTAACATGAATAAGCGTTGACGCCAAACCTTATGGCGCAGGCGTGAAGACCATAATCTGGTTGCGATTTAGAGGGTAATCAAGTGCTATGTACTAAGAAGCGATCAAAATAAGTGCACGACTTAGATATGTAGTGAAGATAGCTTTTTGATAGAAGAACAACGACGCTTCAGAGAGCCATCTACGTTCCGCCTCCTTTGAACATCGGCCTTTCCGCTGGATAAAACTGAAGATTTATTAATCACTTAATGAGGTGTCATCTTGAACAAATCGCTGACGATTTATTGTTCCGCAAAACAAAGTCCGAACTATGTCGCCGAATGTTCCAAAGTTTCCTCTTTACGCTCACATGCTCAAAAAGAAACACTCCACAGCGCGGCAGCGCGTTGCCCGTGTAATGGAAAATCATGAAAGAAAGCGAAAAGTGCCCGTGAGTTGAACTGATGGCGGCCGGCCATCACAAAAACGACGTTTTAATGCTAATTTCCTTACGGTGGAATTCGATCGTTTGTCGTTTTGCACATTGAAGTGGTTTGCCACATAGCATATTGC